GGGGTTTCACCATGTTGGCCAGGCTGGTCTCGAACTCCTCACCTCAGGTGATCTACCCACCTCAGCCTCCCAAAAACAAAGTGCTGGGATTACAGGCATGAGCCACCACGCCTGGCCTTTTTTTTTTTTTTTTTTTTTTGAAACAGCGTCTTACTCTGTCACCCAGGCTGGAGTGCAGTGGCGTGATATTGGCTCACTGCAACCTCCGCTTCCTGGGTTCAAGTAATTCTCCTGCCTCAGCCTCTTGAGTAGCTAGGACTACAGGCACGTACCACCACACCTGGCTACTTTTTGTATTTTCAGTAGAGACAGGGTTTCTCCATGTTGGCCAGGCTGGTCCTGAACTCGACCTCAGGTGATCCACCCGCCTCGACCTCCCAAAGTGCTGGGATTACAGGTGTGAGCCAGCACGCTTGACCTGATTCGCTTTTGATCAACATTTATTGACTTAAATCATGAAGCCTTCTTTTCTTGGTGGGTGACAGTTACAGAAGATACAAGCTCTCAGAATTACAGTCTAATAAATTTATTTATTTATTTATTTTGAGACAATATGTTGCTGTGTTGCCCAGGCTGGAGTGCAGTAGAGTGATCTTGGCTCACTCCAACCTCTGCATCCTGAATTCAAGCAATTCTCATGCCTCGGCCTCCCGAGTAGCTGATATTGCAGGCACGTGCCACCATACCTTGCTAACTTTTTGTATTTTTAGTAGAGACAGGGTTTTGCCACATAGCCTAGGCTGGTCTTGAACTCCTGAGCTAAGGCAATCTGCCCACCTTGGCCTCCCAAAGTGCTAGGATTGCCAGCATGGGCTACCATACCCAGCCTAATAAAGGGTCTAGATCATGTGTATAAATCACTTTCTAAAAAGTAGACTCAACCAGGAGATTTCTAATATGGTGCTTAGAAGAAAGAGCTGAAGATATAAATGTGAAGGAATAGGATATGGCTGCTTTTAGGAGGAAAAGGTACACAGAAATGATTGTGTATAAAAGAGGACAATAAGTTAAATATAGAAGACTTAAGTGTCAAGGAAAAGGGAGTGATCCATTTTCAATAAGTTGGTGACAGTCTTAACATGGGCAAAAATTGGGCTGTAAGTAGCATAGACTGAGGGATTTTTCTTTTGAAGTAGAAAAGATAAGGCATTGCTGGGCGTAGTGGCTCATGCCTGTAATCCCAGCACTTTGGGAGGCCGAGGCGGGCGGCTCACCTGGGGTCGGGAGTTTGAGGCTAGCCTGACCAACATGGAAAAACCCCGACTCTACTGAAAATACAAAAAAATCAGCTGGGTGTGGTGGTGCATGCCTGTAATCCCAGCTACTCGGGAGGCTGAGGCAGGAGAATCGCTTGAACCCAGGAGGCAGAGATTGTGGTGAGCCGAGATGGTGCCATTGCACTGCAGTCTGGGCAGCAAGAGTGAAACTCTGTCTCAAAAAAAAAAAGGCATTTTATTTTTCAAAATGTGCTTTTAAGTAATGCAAACTATCCATTTTAAAAAGTGTTTTAATTATGGGATATAGATGACTTTATTTTCTTTTATCCATAGAACATTACAAAAATTTTTTTTTAATTATTAACTTGATTATGGAAGTCTTTGAACATACACAAAAGTAGAAAGGATGGTGGAATGCACATCCCCCGAATCTATTTCCTAGCTGCAGTAGTTATCAATGAGTTTCCATGTTTCCAGTCTTACTTGATCTATGCCTGTTGACCTCTGCACCTTCCCTGGAGTTTGTTAAAGCAAGTCCTGGATATCATGAGTTCAGTACTATTAAATGTATAGGTAGCTTTTCAGTGTTTCTTCTCCTTTTTTTGTTTTTGTGAAAGGGTCTCTCTGTTGCCTATGCTGGAGTGCAGTGGCACAGTCACAGCTCACTGCAGCCTTGACCTCCAGGACTGAAGTGATCCTCCCACCTCAGCCTCCTGAGTAGCTCAGACCACAAGCACACACCACCACACCTGGTCAATTTCTAATTTTTTGTAGAGATGGGTTCTCCCTATGTGCCACAGGCTGGTCTGGAAGTCCTGGGCTCGAGCAATCCTCCCGCCACCTCACTTTCCCAAACTGCTGGGATTACAGGCATGAGCAACTGTGCCCAGCTTGTTTCTTCTATTTCAAATGACTGCTCTGAGGTATCTTTATTTAAACGGACATTTTCATATTTAATCTTTCAGATGTGAGATTCCTGGGCCAATTTTTTTTTTCTTTTTTTGAGACAGAGTCTTGCTCCGTTGCTAGGCTAGGGTGCTGTGGCACGATCTGGGCTCACTGCAACCTCTGACTCCCTGGTTCAAGTGATTCTCCTGCCTCAGCCTCCCAAGTAGCTTGGATTACAGGCACGTGCCACCTTGCCCAGCTAATTTTTTTTGTACTTTTAGTTGAGATGGGGTTTCACCACATTGGCCAGGATGGTCTGGATTTCCTGACCTCGTGATCTGCCCCGCCTCAGCCTCCCAAAGTGCTGGGATTACAGGTGTGAGCCACCACCCCCGGCCTGGTTTAAACTTTTTAAAACTCATGACAGTCTAGGACAGAAATGCATGAAACACTGGAGCTGCCTCATACAACTCAGTTCAGACAAGTATTCGTAGCTGGTTAGTTAATTTAAAAGTTTAAAGTGAAAAGATCTGATATGCCACGACCATATGAATTTAGATGACAGCATTTAATCAGAGATGGGTGGATCACTTGAGACCAGCCTGGCAAATGTAGCGAAACCCCCTCTGTACTAAAAATACAAAAATCAGCCCGATGTGGTGTTGCATGCCTGTAATCCCAGCTACTCAAATGGCTGAGGCACAAAATTGATTGAATCCGGGAGGAGGAGGAGGAGGCAGTGAGCCAAGATCACACCACTGTACTGCAGTGTGGGTGACAGAGTGAGACTCTGTCTCAAGAAAACAAAAAAAGAACTTTTTAATCTTCATGATACCATTTTTTTTTTTTTTTTTTTTTTTTTT